GACTCCAAGTCTTAAGATAACAGCTCAAATAAAAGTCGTGGACCATCACTTAATATAAGGAGACCCAGGTATCAGGAAAAACTCACCAAATCACCTGAAGGGTGCTGTGAAGCCAGAGGGGCTCAAGGGGCCCATGCTTGTTAGAAGCGTGGTCTAAAGTAGACTCCAGGTGACCTCAGGTGGGTTCTTCTGATATCCTGTTAACTACGCCAAAGCAATGTTAATGAAAATAATAATCTATAGAAGAATAGAAAAGAGTTTTATTTGTTATAGAAAAGAGTTTTTATTTTTTTTTATTTATTTTTTTCTGCGGTACGCGGGCCTCTCACTGTTGTGGCCTCTCCCGTTGCAGAGCACAGGCTCTGGACGCGCAGGCTCAGCGGCCGTGGCTCACGGGCCCAGCCGCTCCGCGGCATGTGGGATCCTCCCGGACCGGGGCACGAACCCGTGTCCCCTGCATCGGCAGGCGGACTCTCAACCACTGCGCCAAGAGTTTTTATTTTTATAAGCCAAACTGAGGGCTAACCTGAAAGCCATCTTCCCAGATTACTCTTGAGAAGCTGCTCCAGTTTTCAGCAGTTTTATATATTGTCAGAACAAAGAACATTAAACAAGTCAGGGTTATATTTCTTCAATATTTCAAAAAAAAAAAAACCAGATCAGCACATACACAGCGAGTCAGTATGGCCTTGGCACCTGGGAAGGGAGTCTTTATCATTAAAGGAGGAAAAGGAAGAGAGGCACTTAATCTTTATTTTTAACATGGACATTTTTTACTTCTGGTCAGTGTGCCCTTAAATAATTAAAGCAGATGTGCAACAAACAGGCTATTTTAAGTAGCATAACATTCAAGTTAACTCAGGTATAAGCCTGAATGACTTCCCTGTATCTCAACGTGTGAACATTTCTTTTATCAACAGCCACCACAGGGCCCCGCATACTAGTGGACAGCCACCCCGGGATTTCCCATGCAACATTCAGGATCACCCCTGAAACCTTTGGGCCCCACCTGTGAGCGGACGGCCCCCACAACTTTCCATTTCCCATCCTGTATTTCCCGACATCTTGGTGCTCACAGTTTCCTCGGTCTGCTGGCTGGCTCTGCCAGTTGTTGGGCTGCACCCCACAGGCCTCAAGGCCTGAACTTGCCCAGCCTCAAGACCGAAGAAAGAGCCCGGAGTCAGCAACAGAGACATCAGTGGTTTAATGGGTTGGGGCGCTTACACGTCTGAAGCAACACCGCACCGTGTGTGTGGCAGATGGCAGGCAGGATATGGCGTCTTCACTCCCTGGCAAGGAAGGGGAGATTGCCAGTTATGGGGGAATTAACATCAGGCGGGCTCATTGGTTACCAGGGAAACCAGCAGAGGAGCATGCCCCTCACGGCCCCTTTGATAAGAACAGTTATCAGCTGGGGCTTGGGGCAAGTGTAGGAAAGTCAGTCATGTGTGTGAGTGTAGGTGATGCAGGCACTGGTCCAGCAGGGATGTAGAGAGAGCAAGAATACAGCCACCTTGCGTGGCCTGACCATACAGTATGCCTTCTAGGATTCTGTCCTGATTCATGGATGACAATGCCACTAAGTGGGGTGAAAACTGGGGAAGATGCAGGTGTGGAGGATAAATGAAGAGCTCTGTGTAGATGTGTGAAGTCTGAAGTGCTTGCTACATGTCCATTCAATGTGATTCAATGACGGTCTACCCATTCACTAACCAATTGTTTATTGAGCTTCTATTATGTACAGGGAGAATCTGGTCTGGGTCAACTGTGTGCTGGAGCATGCTAGTACCAGCTCACAAGAGCTAATTGTTAAACATTCAAGAATGTTGCAAATCAGTCATTAAGCTATCAGTAGCTTGGCATTAGCTGTGGTGAGATTGTTTACACCATGGAAATTGACAAATGCTATTTTTTTTCCAGAGAGTTGATTTATCTGCACCACAGTAAATAAGCCAAAGTAATGTCTATGTTCATGCAGCTTTCATTCTAGTGTCAGGGACAAATTTTAAACAAATGATTGCACAATAATTAAAATTGCAATGCATATTTTGAAGAAATGAGAGTGATGAGAGTATAGAAGGAAAAATGGGCTAAGTTGGCCAGCAGCGGGTGATAAGGAAGTAATGCTTGAACTGTGATCTGAAGGCTGAACAGCACGTTTTAACATAGGAGATCAGGATGTGTTCTATTGATGAGGTGTCATGGTTTGATTGGCAGTATCTTTTTCTTCCTTAGTGGAACATAAAATAATGGAGTATCTTTCAATGAATGGTGGTTTAGATTCACTAGCAGGTATTAATCTGATTCAGGAAGGGGTGTCTGAACTGGGTTGGTGGAGCCCAAAGATTCCAGGCAGGTGTTGCAGAAATGACCATGGAGATAGGAAACCACCAAGGCTCAGGGATCCCAGCCACCGGACCCCAGCTCACACCAGGGAAGCTCTGATTTTTGTGTTTTGCTGTTCTGCTTCATATTCGTTCAGAAAAATACACATTGAACACCTAGTGTGTGCCAGACACTACGACACACAGGCGATACAGTACTGAGGAGACCAGAGCGCTGCCCTCATGGGGATTATATCTGAAGGAAGGGGATGGGGATTCGGGGCAGAGCAAACAAACTGAATAACTTAGGTAATTTCAGAAGGATGATAAATGCAATGGAGGTAACAAAACAGGATGCAGGCATGGTGAGTCACCTGGAGGAGATCCGCTTTGGATGGCAGGGCCACAGAAGGTCGTTCAGATGAGGTGACCTTGGAGCTGATAGGGAGTTGGCCACTCAGGGGTCTGGGGGTTACACCAAGCGCCTTGATGTTTTCTGCCTCAGACAGTATATCTCAGGTAATCGTGAGAGTGACACCCGTCACCTTTGCTGTATTCTGTTTGCTAAAGTTAAATCACAGTTTCCTCCCACACAAGGGGAAGGGGTTATACCAGGATGGGGCTCATTGGCATGTACCTGCCAACCCCAGGAATCACCAAAGACTTGCCTGATCTGGCTGGCTGATCACATGCCAATTTATGTCTCTCTGCATTTGATCAAGAGGTTGATGTTCTCAAGTAAAGGAGAGCTCTTCAACCCTCAAGGGTATGTTGGTAGCACTGCAGCCCTCTCCTAAAAACTCCCAAAGAAATGTCTCAACAAGGTAAGATTTTTTAAAGTCCTAGAGAAATACAATCCAATCTCTTATCATTAAAAAGCAGAACTCCCCCCAAAGTAGAACCCCAAATGGCTCTAGACCAAAAATATTGGATCCTTTCTCAGCCCTCTGAACTTTGGGTAGATTGCCTATCCTATCTGAGTTTCATCTTCCACATGTAAAATGAAGAGGATTTTATAAAGAGTGATAGAGATAATGTATAAAAGTGACTAGTACAGGTGGCCTGGGAGAAAAGGGAAGAATTGGAAGCATGACAATAGGTGGAATAAAAAATAGTGGCTTGGGGACTTCCCTGGTGGTGCAGTTGTTAAGAATCCGCCTGCCAATGCAGGGGACACGGGTTTGAGCCCTGGTCCGGGAAGATCCCACATGCTGTGGAGCAACTAAGCCCGTGAGCCACAACTACTGAGCCTGCGTGCCACAGCTACTGAAGCCTGTGCACCTAGAGCCCGTGTTCTGCAACGAGAGGCCACCGCAATGAGAAGCCCATGCACTGCAATGAAGAGCAGCCCCCACTCACTGCAATGAAGACCCAATGCAGCCAAAAATAAAATTATTTTTTAAAATGGTGGCTCATCAAGAGATCAGATGTGGAGGAGTGATTTAAAAATAGTAAATATTGTTCTCTCCATTTTTTTTCTGGAGCTTTATCTGAGCACATGGCAACCCAGCTGGAGACAACATTTCCCAGCATCCCTTGCAGGTCAGGGTGGCCATGTGACTAAGCACTGGCCAATGGGATGTCAGCAGAAGTGATGGGTACAACTTCCAGGTCACATCTGAAAAGCACTCTCCTTGCCCTCTACTTCCTCTGTCTTCCTTCCTGCAGCTGGACTGTGAATGAGTTGCTAGTAAGCCTTCTCCTACCACGTGGAAAAGGAGACTGTATGGGATAATACAGCAATGAGATGGGAGGAACCTGGTCTCAGGATGACTTTGTGGTGTAGAGACACCCATGTTTACAGGAAAGAGAAAAAAAAACCTGTATTATTTAAGCCACTGTTGTTTGGTCTGTTAAAGCAGCTGAACCCAAAACCCAACCAATACAGTGCTACCAGGTAAACATTAGAGAAAGAAAAATGTATCCCTGATGTTCTCTTAGGAAGGAGTCACATGAAGACCATGTCTCTGCAAGTACGATATGGACTGTTTTTCTTCTGGAATAGTTGCTTCTGATGAACTCACTGACTTTCATTTCAGACAAATATTAGATGGAAAATGTGTACCACTAAGCATTAGAATCATTTTGAGCAGGTCAAGGTGTGATCACTTGTGGGAGGTCCATGGAAATGGATGAGCTGAGCAGAAAGTCCCCTAGTGGACTCACACTCCAGGATACAGGGTCATTGGTGGGCTTTGGGATGAAATGACACCTCACCACAGTTGTCGTTCAGTACCCACAGGGGATTGGTTCCAGGACCCACCAGGATACCAGAATGGATGCTCAAGTCCCATAGTCTGCCCTCCATACCCACAGGTTCTGCATTCATGGGTTCGACCAACCAGGGATTGTAAACAGAGTACACGATCCACGGTTGGTTGAATCCGCAAATGTGGAGCCTGTGAATACTGAAAGTCAACTGTTTTTAAAATTATTCTCTCCCTCTTTCTACCTTCCCCTGTGTATGTACAGTACCATTTGCCTAAATTAAATGCACCTTGGACACGTCTCCATTTTATCCAGCTGCCTATTGGGGCTTCCTGCATGAATCATCAACGTTGTTGTCAACATTTTGGGCGACCCAGTGTGTTCCTGGTGGTCTCTGGAGACATTAACACCTCCACTATGACCACAAGGAAAATCCTGTGAGGCTGGATTTCTGGGTCACTCCATGTCTTAAGGTGGCACCTGAAGATACAGCTTCTGCAGGGATCCCTTCATGTCCTTGTTCCTCAGGCTGTAGATAAGCGGATTTAAGGTGGGCATGAGGATGCAGTAGAAGACGGCAGCCAGGCGCCCTTGCTGTGGGGAATATCGCGCGGTGGGCTGCATGTAGGCAGAGCTGCCAGTGCCATAAAACAGGAGGACGGTGGCCAGGTGGGAGGAACACGTGGAGAAGGCCTTCCAGGGGCTGGCTGCTGAGCGGATCTGAACCACCGTGGCCAAGATGCGCACATAGGACAGGACAGGGAGGCTGAAGCAGCTGATGATGACGCAACCGCTGGCTGCAAATCCCGCAGTGTCGTGGACACCTGTGTTGGCACAGGCTAGGTGCATGAGTGGCGGGATGTCACAGAAGTGGTCAATCACGTTGGGGCCGCAGAAGAGCAGGGAGAAGGTGTTGGTTAGGGGAGGGCAGAGAAGAGGAGCCCACTGCCCCAGGCCGCTGCCATGGAGACGCAGGTCCGGGGCCTCATGGCTGCCCTGTACACCAGGGGCCTGTAGGTGGCCAGACAATGGTCAAGCCATGGAGGTGATGAGAAAACACTCTGCGGACTCCAGGCAGACAAAGGCAGAGTTGGGACATGCACGCATGGAGGGAAATCTGCCCCGAGCCCAGCAGGGTGGCCACCAGGGCCCAGGGCAGGGTGGTGGACACGGAGCAGATATCCACCAAGGAGAGGTGTTTGAGGAAGGAGTACATGGGCGTGTGCAGGCGGGCGTCCAGTGTCACGGCAGTGATGATGGACATGTTCCCCAGAAACGCGGCCGGGTAAACCAGAAGGAAGGCAGCAGCGCTGCACAGCTGTATCTCAGGGACCGCTGAGAAACCCAGAGGAAGAAAACAGGCACTGCCTTGAGATTGGTCATGTTGTGTCTTCGGAAAAGCTCGCGAATGGCAGGGGATGCTCAAAAAGCAGTGCATGGGGCTTCCCTGATGGCGCAGTGGTTAAGAATCCACCTGCCAATGCAGGGGACGGCTTTGAGCCCTGGTCCAGGAAGATCCCACATGCTACGGTGCAATGAAGCCCATGCACCACAACTACAGAGCCTGTGCTCTAGAGCCTGTGAGCCACAACTACTGAAGCCCACGCGCCTACAGCCGGTGCTCCACAGCAAGAGAAGCCACCGCAAAGAGAAACCACTGCAAAGAGAAGCCCATGCACCACAATGAAGATCCAACACAGCCAAAAATAAATAAATTTATTTTTTTAAAAAAGTAAAGGAATAATCATGACTCTCTTTATAAAGCACTTTCTCATCTGTTGCCATGTTTAATATCCATAAGGACTAAGGACCTCCTGGGGATAGATTTCACCTCCATTTTACAGATAAGATAATGGAGGCTCACAAAGGTTGAGTATCTTGTCAATGATCAGAGATGTAGTAAGTAGTGTTAAATTTTCCGTTTCCGGTTTTGCAGTTTCCCAATTGCTCCTTGCTGGCGCTCAGAACAAGAGTCAACCTACAGCAAAGTAGCATTGGCTCTAGGGACCCTAACTGTATATGCTCTCCCCCTTTGATCAATTTCTTTCTGCATGGATCATGGTCTCTACAAACCTGTTTCTTTCTTACATAGACGGAGAGGTCTCTGGACTTGGGCAATATGTCCAGAGTGCAAAAGTTTATCCTACTGGGTTTATCTGCCAGGCAAGGCATAAGGATTGTGCTGTTTGCTGTCTTCCTGACTCTCTACCTGCTGACCCTCCTGGAGAAAACGTGCCTCGTGTTCCTTGTCTGCAGTCATGGTGAGCTCTGAAAGCCCATGTACTTCTTTCTGGGCAACCTGAGCGGCCTGGAGATGTGCTACATGTCAGTGACCATATGCCCAGCTTGCTCGTGGGGCTGAGGTCCAGTGCATGCCATGTGCCCTTCACAGCCTGCATAATTCAGCCTTTTTTATTCATATCTCTCATTGGCACCAAGTGCACCCTCCTGGCCTATGACCACCATGTGGCCATCTGCCGCCCACTACACTACCTGCTGCTCATGAGGCCCCAGATCTGCCTGGGTTTAGCTTTGTCCTCACGGCTTTGTGGGCTGTTGGTCTCGGTGGTCAAGATATCATGCATCGCCAGCCTGTTCTCCTGTGGCCCCAATGTCCTCAACCAATTTTTCTGTGATGTCTCCCCTCTGCTCAACCTGTCCTGCACCCACATGACCCTGACGGAGCTGGTCGACTTCATCTCTGCCATCGTCATCTGCAGGACCCTGCTAGTTGCTCTGGGCTCATATGCGGCCATCAGGAGGGCTGTGCTCCAAATGCCTTCGGCTGCTGCCGGCAGCAAACCCCTCCACCTGCGCCCCCCACCTGACTGTGGTGGACATCTTCTGCTCAGTGGTTCTCTTCACGTATTCCCCCCCCAGCCGTGTCGAACCCCCTGACCTCAACAAGTTGCTGTCTGTCATCTACACGGTGGCCACGCCCATGTGCTGCCTGATCTAGTCTACTGCCTGTGGAACAAGGAGGTCCACGCAGCGCTGCGGAAAACCCTCCCCCAGCGCCGAGTCTCTTCAGCGAGAACTGACAGTTCCTGCTCCTGATTTTAACGCTTTCGTGGCCAAAACACGTGCACAACTTTCAAAGGCAAATAGAAATCCGGAGGAAAATATTTGCAACATAACGTATAAAGACTTCTTTAAAGGAGAAAAATATGAAGCCCTCCACCGAGAGAAAAACCAAAAGGAAAATGGTCATGAACATCAAGGCTATTAAAGGAAACATGTAAGTGGCTTATAACCTACAATAAAGATGTGCACGCCCTCTAGTAATCCAAGAAATGGAAATTTACTCCTTGCCCACTGTAAAAAAAAAAAGTATAACAAAATTTAAGCACAAGAATTTTTATTACAACACTGTGAAATTTGGAATAAACATTATTTTATTGGAAATGTTTGCAAATAACTCAAATGTCCACGAACGTGAAATTATTTAAATATGTTACATTATATACATTGTGTGAAATAACAGGCATTCATTAAAGAGATTAAACCAGACTTGCAGATACTGCCATGGGAAGACAGTATGTTGTTTAGTTAAAAACGAAAGGAGCAGTATAAGAGTATGTCAAAGATTTGTAAAACAATAATAATAGACTAATTGCAGTAGTTATTTATGTTAATAACTAATAACCTAGAAAAGAATCTGAAAAGATATATATCAAAGAGTTATTAGCTATGTTTTTAGGCATGAGACCACAGGGGACTCATTTTCTATTTTATACATTTGAATATTTTGCAATAAACTTGTATTACCTTTATAATTGAATAAATATGCATTTTATAAGAGAAAACAGAAATTCAAAGAAACACCTTCTATAGAATGACTTACTACCATACTAACATATTTTTCATTTTTATTTTAAGTAATAAAAATTCGTGTTGGGGGACTTCCCTGGCGGTTCAGTGGTTAAGACTCCGTGCTTCCGCTGAAGGGGGCGCAGGTTCCATCCCTGGTCGGGGAACTAAGATCCCACATGCAGCGTGGTGCGACCAAAAAGAAAAAAAAAAGTCGTGTTGACAATGACTCAAGGGGAATGAACATGTTCTAGTGTGGTTTGTGAGAGTATATGTTAGTACGTTTTAGAAGGGCAGTTTGCTAATAAATACAAAAAGCCTCGAGAATCTGAGTGGCCTTGCATTCATCCATTCAACTTTGGGAATTTATCCTGGAGAAGAAAGTAAAACATATGGGCAAAAGTTGACCTACAATGATACCCATTCCAAACTATTTGCACAAAGACAAATAACCCAATAGTTCATCCAAAAAAAGACAATAGAAATGGCCAATAAACTATGGAATAATATTCAATCTCCACCACAACTAAAGAAATGATACTCAAAGTAATAAGATACTCCCCCCTGGTAGTGGAGCATCTTTTAATTTGCTCAGAGCAAATTAAAAAAAAAAATCCTTTGAGAGAACCCAGTGTTGGTTGGATGTGGGGCAATGTACCCTCTAAGACTACTGTGGGAGAGCAGATTGAGGCAGTGTTTTTGGAAAACAATTGGCCAATATTTATCAAATTTTAAATTCACATTCACTTTGACATAGCTATTACCATTTTATCTTCATCTTCACTGATGTTTCCAGCTCTCTACCTTCCAGGCTCTTTAGGCATGGGTGGGATCATGTGAGTGGTACTGGCCAATGAGTAATTATGTCACTTCTAGACCAAATCATTTAATTCCTGGTGTGAGACCCTCCAGATCTCTCTTTTCTGTTTGGCATGGTGACAAGCAAAGTTCAAGACTGGCCTTTTCCACCTGAATTCCGACCATGGTTAGCAGAACACCCTTTAAAATGGTCATAAAAATTCTCTATATGCAAGTCTCAAAGATACATTGCTAAGTGACAAAAGCAGGATGCCAAATATGATCTGGGAAATGGAAGAGTTTGGTTCCAATTGTTTGGAAAAATTTGTGCCACCAAAAATTTTCATGTTTCCTCTTTCCTCAGAAATACTCCTCTTTTCAAAGCTCCACCTGGCCAGGTGTGGGAGCTCTTTGAGTCTGTGCTCTTTGCCCATGGTTCTTCTCACCCCCAGGCTGCCATCCTTCCCAAGCCCTGAACCAATAATTGTGGTTGTTGGCCTGTGTGTGTGTGTGTGGGGTGGGGGTGGGGGGGTGTGCAGGGGGAGGTTGCAATGCTCTAGTTGGCCAGCAGGTGTTACATGCCTTCCCCTAGACCCAAGAGCCGCTGTGGCCAGTTCACTCAAGTCATAAGGGCAGAGCTTGGAGTAGCGTTTCTCCCCCAGTGGGGTATGTGACCAAAAGGACACCTCTTTAGGTGATAATGGAGTCAAGAAAATATCAGATTCTACTGCAGCTACAATTCCATGAGGGAGATGCATCCTAGAACAGGGAAGGGGGCAGAAGACAGAGATTACAGTGATTTTTTAATATTGAAAAATAATCTTATTATAAAAGCAAAACATGCTTGCCACACACACAAAAATTTTTTGACAAAATACAATGAAGTGAAAATGAAAGCAAAGCCTTCCCAAGGTCTGCCACACACTGGCAATCACCATTAGCATTTCATAGTGTTGATTTTCAAATTCTTTCCAATATACATACATACACTCATTGTATTACAAAATCAAAAAGTAATTACACTGTCCATGCTGTTTTCTAACCTGAATTTTCCACATCACGATATATAATCGACATCTTTCATGGAAGTAAATATACTTACAAAATTTGTTTTTCATGGCATTGTAAGGATTCCATGTGTAGCTGTGCCTCAGTTTAACGACCCCTCTATTGTTGAATAGAGGTTTCTCCCAACAGCTCTCCATTAGAGGCACAAAATGCAGGGACTTCCCTGGTGATCCATTGGTTAATTTAAGACTCTGTGCTTCCACTGCAGGGGGCACGGGTTCCATCAGGGAACTAAGATCCCACATGCCGGTGTGGCATGGCCAAAAATTTAAAATAAAAAAAAAAAAAGAAAGAAAAAGAAGCACAAAATGCTATGAATATTCTCGCAATTACATTGTTGCAAGCATTCCTAAGTTATTTTCTTGGCAAAAAATCCTTAAAATGATACATTGTCAAAGGCCATGAACATTCAGGTTTTAATGCATATTGACAAATTGCCCTCCAGAAACATTATACCAATTTCAGTTAATAACTTTCATGATCGCTGAAATTTGGGGAAAAAATTCAATTCCTTGAATTTTGGGGTGTGCATCCTCATAGGCAAACATCTGTAGCTAGGTCTAGAATTTTTGTCTTTACATTTTTTAA